GCCTGGCCTGGACTCTGCCCCGACCGATTACCCCCTCCGCAGAAGCAAGCGGGTAGAGCAGCCCTTCGTCCCCTGAGCATGGGCAGAGGGCGCGCGGGAGGGGGGGGGAGAGAAGATGGCAGAGATTTCATTGGTCTCTATGTAAAATATAAATCCTCTTTCCACACCCTCCCCCCACACACACCCAGGCCTTTCTCCCGAGGAAGGAGCTCTAGGAGGAGGTTTGGGGAAGGGAAGGGGCTCCCCGATGAACACCTGGGGCAGGTGGGGGGGGCGTTGTCTCCTGTCAGACCCTTCAGAGGATCAGTTTTTTTTTAATTTTCATATTTTTGAAGGTTCTCCCCCCCCAAAAAAGCTGCCAGACTGAGAAAGAACACCCCTCTTCCCCTCTCTCCTCTTTAAGCCTCAGGTGGACGAGAACCCGGGTCCGGCGGCCTCCAAGAGCCTGGCCTGAAGGGAGCCAGCCTTCGAAATCGCCCTGGGCACCACCCCGTGTTAGGTCCGGTATGTCCAGGCTTGCACCCACCCCATCATGGGCCTAACAAGCACCCAAGAAAAATGAAAAGGAGCCTCCTAAACACACACACAAGAGGGCCGTCCTGGAAGATCTTGGGAAAACAGGCGATACCTGCCTTACCCTGGCTCTCCCTTCAGACAGACCTTGGGTTTTTATTTATTTACTTATATTTTTATATATACACGCATACATTCATACATGCATACATATATGTGTGTATGTATATGTATATGTGTATACAACACACACACACATGTATATATACATGTCTATCTATCTATGAAGACAGGATGCTGAAATTCCACCAACGCAGCCTCCCAGCCCCCTGACAAAAAAATCCTGAAGGCTGTAATTGTAAATGCTTTTAACCTGGGATTTAACTCAAGGGGGGCTACCTTCTCACCAGATGTGTGCACAGCTGCAAAAGTAGCAAGACTCTACAAAATCCCAAAGCAGAGAGATGCTTTCACTCTTAATTTGGGACATACGCTGACATTCAGTTGAAGTATTTCTTTCCATACATGAGCCCTGATATTAAACAGTATGGAGGCATCATAAAACAGAAATAGCTTCCTCAGTATTATTTATTGAGATTTATTTATTTAAGATATTTTAACCCACCCTTTTCCTTAGGCAAAAGGAACCAAGGCAGCTTATAATTTTTGTTTATTTAAAATGTTTTTACTCCTCCTTTCTCCTTAAAAGGATCCAAGGCAGCTGACGAGAATTAAAAGACAATATGTAAAAACTAAAAACAGTAAGTGTACAAATATTAAAACTAAAATTAAAGAAGTATATTTAAAAATGGTCAATAAAATTAATAGTCGAAAAACAACATAACACAGCAATCTTGTTTTTTTTAAAAAACCTCTCAGGCTTCCAGTAATTAAGGGAAAGCCTGCTTGAAGAGAAAGGTCTTGGCCTGCTTGCAGAAGGACAGCCAAGTTGGATAGCCAAGCCTCACCTCCAGTGAGAGGGAGTTCCAGAGTCTAAAGGGGCAGCCACAGAGAAGGCCCTCTCCTGTTTCCCCTCAAAATGAGGATGATGGAACTCAGAGAAAGAGCATCTTGTGATGATCTTAACAGTCGAGCAGGCCCATCAAGGCAGACCCCACCCTGTTTTCAGATTAGCTTCCCTTGTTTTCTCATTGGTCTGCAGAAATTAAGTCTGGGAGTTCTCAAACCTGAAAATGCCTAAATTATGCCTCCAAATCAAGTGTTTGCAACTCTAATTACAAACTGTCTATAGCAGGGTGTTTAACAAAAATCAGAGGGAAAGCATGTGCTTTAGGGGTTTTATTGACATATGAACCAAATGTGACTGTACAAAAGACAAATGCTATTTTAGGCTGTATTAACAGAAGTCTAGTCTCCAAATCCCATGAGGTCCCTGTTCCCCTCTATTTGGCCCTGGGTAGGCCTCCTCTTGAGTCCTGGGTCGAGTTCTGGACCACCCCCTTTTGAGGAAGATGCTGACCAACTGGAACCAATTCAGAGGAGGGCAAGCAGGAGGAACCAAGGGGCTGGGGAAAAAAGCCCTATAACACGGAAAGATCTTTCTGGGCATGTTTAGCCTGGAGAAGAGAAGACCGAGGGGAGAGAGGAGAGCACTCTTCACAGACTTGAGAGGAAGGGCAGAAACTCTTCTCGATCATGGCAGAGTGCAGGACACACAGCAGTGGGCTCAAGGTTTTCAGCTGAATATCAGGAAAAACATTAACAATCAGTCAATTTCCTGCACAATTCAAAGTCCTAGTTTTAACTAAAGATTCCCCTTGACATTTAGTCCAGTCCTGTCCGATTCTAGGGGACGGCGCTCATCCCCGTTTCCAAGCTGCAGAGCCAGTGTTTGTCTGTAGACAGTTTCCGTAGTCACATGGCCAGCACGACTAGACACGGAACGCCGTTCCCTTCCCACCGTGGTGGTACCTATTTATCTACTCACATTTGCATGCTTTCAAACTGCTAGGTTGGCAGGAGATGGGATAAGCAACGGTAGCTCACTCCGTCGTGTGGATTTGATCTTACAACTGCTGGTCTTCTGACCTTGCAGCACAGAGGCTTCTGTAGTTTAACCTGCAGCGCCACCATCTCTCTCAAAGGTAAAGGTTCACCTTGACATTTAGTCCAGTTGTGTCCGACTCTAGGGGGTGGTGCTCATCCCCGTTTCCAAGCCATGGAGCTAGTGTTTGTCTGTAGACAGTTTCCGTGGTCACGTGGCCAGCGTGACTAGACACGGAAGGCTGCTACCTACCCACTGTGGTGGTACCTATTTATCTACTTTGTTTCCCTGAAAATAAGATAGGGTCTTATATTAATTTTTGCTCCAAAAAACTCATTAGGGCTTATTTTCAGGGGATTTTTTTTCATGTACAACAATCTACATTTATGCAAATACAGTCATGTCATCTTCTGGTTGCTGCACAATGGTGGAGGGCAGGGTTTCACTTAACTGGGGCTTATTTTTGGGGTAGGGCTTATATTACAAGAATCCTGAAAAATCACACTAGGTCTTATTTTCGGGGAAACGGTATTTGCATTTTTACATGCTTTCGAACTGCTAGGTTGGCAGGAGCTGGGACAAGCGATGGGAGTTCACTCTGTTGTGTGGATTTTACTGATAAGGCTCTAAATGCTCTGACTGGGTCTTTAATATTACTTGTGTTTACCATCTCTCAGGGCGGTATTTGCTTGTTCCTTTTCAGTATTTGTATACTTACTGTTCTTGGCTTTAAATATTGTCTTTCAAGGATGTAAGCCACCTTGGGTCCTTTTAAAGGAGAAAGGTGGGGCAAAATATTTTAAATAAAAATAAATACAGCAGTGGAACCAATTACTTCAGGAAGTGGTGAGCACTCCAGTACTTGGAAGCATTCAAGACAAAATGGGACCGCCTTCTGCCCAATCTGCTTTGGTTTGGCTTCCTGCCTTGAGCAGAGGGGGTTGAACTTTGTGGCCCTCGATGCCCCTTCCAACTCCGTGATTCTAGGATTCTGTACCTAAAATTGATAGCAATGGCCATTGACCTTTCAAATAATTGACTTTACTTCTTGATTATATTTTAGGCCAGATATAATGAAGGCTTATCTAAAAAGTTGCGACGGCCTGTTGGCCCTGCGGCCAAAGATAACCACTATAGGAAGGCACGAAGATTCAGACATTGTTCTCAAGGTGATTATATGAGTATTTTGTCTCTTGTCTTGGACGTTAAATGTTTAAAATAATAGCTATTTGTTCAGTTTCGCTTAACTGCCCTTATGTCGTAATAATTACAGGTGTCAGACCAGGACTGCAGAGATGTATTTCAAATCTTTGTTCTGCTGTAAAATTCACCGGATGCCTGTCACCATGAATATTAATATTTTAAAATCAGAACTCTTATTAATAATAATAGTCATAATAACTAATATGCTCTCAGATCAATTCCAAATTAATTGTGATCCTTCCAAGCTTTTAAAAGATATAAAGTGCTCAGAATACCCAGTCCCTCCTTCTGGTGGAGCTCTGGACTGTGAAGCTGGCCCAAGGCTACATAGGTGGCGGGAACATGTCAGCCCCATGTGTTCTGGGTGATTTAGGCTGGCCCCTTTCTTGGGAGATACAGTGGAGAGTCATGCTCTCAACCACTGGCCCTACAGCAAGTACTCCAGCTCACGGAATGCTTCCGCCAGCTATATTTATTTCATAAGCATTTTTGCTGTAGATCAGTGTTTCTCGTCTACCATCTCCATTTTGATTCATGATTGAACTCTAATGATTTTGAGTTTATTATTCTCAACATTAAAATTAGGTAATTGTTCTTAGTCCTCTTTTTTATAATCTTTCTGTTGTTCAACTATAGTTCTGCACTGTTTTTAACTGTTGTTCAATCGTCATTTCAAGTGATTGCTGTTTTCTGCCAGTAAGATGGTGTCATCTGTTTATCTGAAATTATTGATATGCTTCCACCACTTTTCACTCCTCCTTTCTTTGAATCAGTTTTTGTACAACGTGTTCTGCATAAAAACTGATCAGATAGGAAAATAAAATACATCCTGGTCTGACACCTTTTCTATTGGAAAACGTTGTTTCTCCATATTCTGGCATAACAGTAGCCCATTGTCCAGAATATATTTTATGCAGCAGGTTTATCCATTTTGTATAGTGTGGTCCCTACCTTTTCAAAATCCATACAATCAGAAGCTTTATTGTAAAATATTTAATGCAAAATGATTTTCTTCCGAATTTTTTTGACATGTTCTGCTGGCCGACGTTGCCAATAAAATCCAGTTCACCTAATATCTGTGGCTTACATGTCCCTTCTGCATGAGTCCTCACTGGATGAAGATCAGAGTCCCCAGAAAGGAGACTATCCCCCCCCCCACCTACTAGAAACCAATGCTCAAGGAAAGCTTGGCAGACCACCTGCCCCTTTTTGGTGTGGGGAAGGAGGTGCTCTTCAGCGGAATCAGAGCATCCCCCAAGAACAGCCAAAGTTCAAAAGGCACGGAGAAGCTCAGAGATTCAGGAGGGTGCCCCCCCCCAGCAGCAAAGAGCGCCATGTGTAGAGCCTCTTTTCGGCCACCCGCCTCCAGGCGGTTCCAGTGACGTCGTGCAGGAGGGGAGCTGCAGGATGCACGGAAGAAAGAAGCTTTTGTATTCGCTGGGTTTGTGGGACACCACATATCCCGATAGCTGTCTGTCCTCCTCACAGTCCTGGTGTACTTTTGCGGGCATCTGTCCTTGATCCATTCTCTTTCTGTCTCTTTGGCCCTTGACGAATGGACCGCGTTCCTTGTAGGACTTTGACCTGTTGTGACTTTGTCTTCGTTCCCCAGACTCTGCGGTTTGGCTGCTTCAGATGCGCTTGGTTTCCTAACTATGCTTGTGAATTGACTTTGGCCTCGTTTCCTGATTTCCGCCTGCTGCTTGGCAGCTTGGCAGCTTCCCGTCAGGCTTGCCAGTTGAACACGGGCTGTTTCACCTTGTGCTTGGCGCTTGCCTCCTGGAATGCGAGCAGGGCCTCTTAAAGAAATGCTGTGTTTCCTGGGGAGCTTTTCGGGGGCTCCCCAGTGAGGAAGTCAAGAAGGACAGGAAGACTTGTCCTGTAAGGCACAACCTGCCCTTTCATCAGAACTTCTTCACAGAGTGCAGCTAGTACCACATGGCTCTGTGGCAGAATTGCAGGGTAGAAAGGAGACTTAAAGGCCATTTTCTCCAGCGTAGAGTTCATGCAACTGACAGTGTTTATAGTATTTTTCATTTTCCATTTAGTTTTCCATTCCAATGACAGGTCAGTTTATTTGCAGGTTATGCGGGTGAATTCCCAGTAGTGATCGGAGAGGGTCATAGGTTTGCAGTTAGCAAGCGAAAATAATGGATGGCAGGAAAAAGTTGTTGTTTGGCCAGTAGAATTTTTGTTTGGCAAATGAAATTCTGAAAACCTGGGTTGACTCCTGCATGTTTTGATAGCATTTGTTAAGGAGAAGACCATCAGACGTCTCCGTAAATGCCTCCAAGCCAAGAGCCGCCACTTCTTCAAGGCCATCTGTTCTGCTGTCAAAGTGGTCGCCAGAGTCTGCTCCCTTGCAATTTCCGCCCGTAAAGAAGAGACAGCCTGGGTGGAGCAGCGTCCACAGCATGTAGTGCTGTCGCTGGTTCTTCCTTTCTTCCTTTCTCTCTCTTTATGATGATGGAGAAGGAAGGCAGAGTAAGGCATTTCTAACTATGGTAGCTGGTGGACACATTGCCTGTCCTGCCAGCCACTGCCAAGGGAACATGTTGAATTTATATTTATTTATATTATATTTATATTTCAGTCTGCAGGTGTTGAAGACCACCATGCTGTCATTGAATTCAGCCCTGCCGAGAATGGCTTCATTCTCCGGGATTTCAACTCCGCCCATGGGACCTTTGTCAATGATTGCCACGTCCAGAATGCAGCCGTGAAAGTGAGCCCTGGAGACATTTTGCGATTTGGCTTCAGTGGAACGGCCTTTGAGTTGGTGCTTGAACACGCCTCTCAGGTAAACAGCCTGCCGCTCCCTTCTGTAAGATCGTTGTGTGTGGCTTTCCTTGCATCCCTTCTTTCCCACTCTTGGTTTCAGGTACTCTATTTTTAAATATCCAGCATTTCTACCACAAGCGCCTGGAAAGCAGGCACTGAGATCACTACACGACATGTTATTAATTCAACGTAGAAACTGTTTGAATCAGTAAATCATTCTAGAGATGGAGGAGTAGGTGATCTCTTTATTAGATCACACACACACACACATAGACACAAATCAAGCAAACAACCGACAGTTAACATTTGGTGGTAATTCACCTTCTGCAGGCAGTGCACCAAATTCCTGTGGGTGGTTCAGAAAACTATATACATCTGAAGGCTGTTGCTGGGTCCAGGTTAGGGTCTTTAGATGGGTACAGATGGCAAGCCGGCAAAAGGCTTGTGGGAGAAAGGGGTGGTTTCAAGCCGCTCCTCGGACAGTCATCTGGAAATGATCCCCCAGCTCTTGAAACGAAACAGTCTGCCCAGTAGTCTGCATCCCCATCTTCTCCCCCTTTGCCTTCTTTTTGAAACTTAAAGAATGTTGTGACGTACACCCTGTATCCTTTGTTTATTTTGCCTTAAACACAAGTCCACCCTCTTTATGTGTGTCCTCACTTCAGGCTGCCACCAGGTCTTATTCCCTCAATACCAAATAAGACACGTGCTGCCATTGATATTATAGATGTTATGCAAATCACAGGAGAAAAATCACAGATGTTTAGGATCATTCATTAAATATCATTTGATTTCACGTTGGTTTATTTTTATTCACTTTTACACTATTAATTGACTATCTAGTTATTCTCTAGGCTTTTGAACTCCTTCTTATTCTCTCTAGCATTACAACCTTCCAGTCTCTGTCTAAACTTCCTCAAATCAATCGCCTAACTCTCTCTCTTTTCAATTCCCTATCTCCCAAACCACTTTTTCTCCAACTGTCTAACTGTCCTTTTGGTTCCGCCCCTCCTGTCCTCTCATAGGCTCCAGCCCTTGAGCTTCCCATGATGGACAGGCGTGACGTGGGGGTTCCGCTACAAATGTCCTATTTGGCTAGGGAAAACAAGGCTGAACAGAAGCATGACAAGCCTCCGTCCGAGCTAAGGGTCCAATAGTGTGTCTGTTGAACTGTAGGACCTGTGGAGGAGCTTCCTGCTTGTTGGGCCCTAAACTTTGGAGGCACCGTTTATAACACAGCTGCCCTATAGGTATTGAGCTGCTGGTTTTCCAGATCAGCTGAGTGGAAAGTTCTTTGACAGTAGATTACAGAATGGGCCCATCCGTGCCTAAGGAAACCCTCATTTCACACTCTTATTCAGGGATGCGGTAGGTTTCCTTTTGAAGTAAAAAGTGGCCAGAATCCAGTGATGTGCTTCTGCTGGATCCCACCGCTGCAGAACCCCACCCCCGGCCCCCAGGCAACCTAAAAACACAAAACAAAACTGGGGCAGGCTTCTGCCCCACTACAGAGGGCTGCATGGGGAGAGAAAGAGGGACTCAGATATGGGGTCATGGAATCCCCAAGTCCAACTTGGAACTTGGCCACAATCAGTTGCAGCTGCGGCCGTCCCCACCACCAGTGGAAGGTCTCCCTGTCTCTCCATCCTTGCATGGTGCACTTGTGTGAGATGGTCGAAACTAGTAACTCACACAAACCTTAAGAAGCAGAGATGGGGGCAATTAATAGAGCTGTCAGTGAGCCTTGATCGAGGCCGGTGTTGATTGTGGTCCTGACAGTACTCAGCTAGTCCTTAGGGAACCCTCCTCATTTTATTTGCCACCTTCCTTCCAGCACACATACATTCTGATGGTTTATGCTTGAAATGGTCAGCATTTTTTAAAAAACCTTACAGCATCTTGAACTGGGGAGAGGAATTGTAAGTCAGAGACGCGTGTCAAGTTGCTCTCATGGTGTAAAACTTTTCCCCTGCAGGTGTCCTGCCCCCCGATGAGTCGCCGCACGGCCTGGCCGGGGCCGCTCCAGCTGGCGCCGGAGACAAAGCCTCCTCCAGCCATGGCGGCAGCTCCTCAGTTTCCATTCCTTCCATGTCCGCAGTCCCCACCCGCCGTCCGCAGTTGGGCTTATGGAGTCAGCAGGACTTCACCACATCCGCCGCGCAGAAAGAAGCCCATAAATGCTTGGGGCAGGCCCGTCTCTTCCCCTGCTTTCTCTCCTGATCTATTTGGCAGGACTCCGGCGGTTATGGCGGGTACGTGGGGAGAATCTGGCATCTGCGGAGTCACTTACCCACAGTTTGAAAATATTAAAAGAAAAATCCACGTATGGAGAGAGAGGGAGCCCGAGACCACAGTGTTTGCTGTTAAAATAGGGTTCCATGTTTTTCCGCGTTTGCAGAGGGGCTCGGAACTGATCCGCCATGGATGGGGGGGCTGCTGTTTGTGCCTTGCACTGCACTCCCTGGGTGGTGGAGAAACTCCAGTAGCCGGGGAGGGGGCAGTTTCACACTTCTGTGATCTTCTGCCGGGATGTTGAGGAAACGGGGGAAGCACAAGTGGGAAGTGGCCAAAAGGAAACATCACATTTTCTAAAAGTGTCATTTCTCTGGTTTTAAAAAGTAATAGAGAAGAAGGAGAATTTATGTCCTTTCAGGGCATCTGTGAGCAGCAATTCTTCCTGTTTTGCCACTGAAGTGTTTTTGACACAGGGCCTCTTTTTGGACCCCTGGAGCTGCAGAACCTAAGAAGAGCCCTGTGCTGGATCAGGCCAGGGGCTCCTCGAGTCCAGCTTCCTGGCTCTCACAGGGGCCCCACTCGAGGCCTCTGGGAGCACACAAGACCACGAGAGACCTGTCTCCTGATCCCCCTCCCCTGCCTCCGGCATTTTTAACCACCCTCAGGAATGGGGGGGGGGGTTGTTTGCTTGCTATTTTCTGGAGTTATTTGGCGGTTTGAAAGGTTCCGGGTGGTGGATCTTCATTCTGACGAGGTGGTCTGGGGTTTTTGGTCCCCCCCCCCTCTGTTTTAGAGAGTGGATAGTGACAGCCCCTCCATAGAAACAGATTTATGGCTTGAATCACACCTTTGCCAAATCCTTAAAAAAGGAAAGCTTGCCAGGCTCTTTATCAGGCCAAGGTGACATAAAAGGAAGAAGCAGTTCATCCCATAGTCTGTTTAGAAAAAGCGGATTTTGAGGACAGATTCGGAGGGCAAGCGGGTAGGGGTCCCCTTATCCGGGACTGCTCTGCACCTGATTTCTGCCTCTTACAACAATGATTGCCACCACTGATGTGAGATCTCCATCTTTTCATTATTGCACAGTGTATTTGTGTGAGATTGTCAAAAGTGGCAACTCAACGCAAGCCTAAAAGCAGAGATGGGGAAATCAATGAGCTCTTACTGAGACATCTATTGATTTTGGTGCTACAGTATGACCTTAACAGAGAGTGGCATTAAAAAAGACAGAAGGCTTTTGAAATATTGATTTCATTCACAACACTGTGAATTTCGTGGATCGAGAGGATGATCCAAGAGGAATTGCTGTAGAAATGCAGAGCAAGAACTCAGGAAACAAAAGCAGGCGGCTAGAATACTTTTGGGCATGGAATGAGAAACAGAATGTGTCGCTTGTTACAGCAGATCATTCGGGAGAAAAATGAATGTGAAAAAGGACTGCGAGAAGGTGTGTGGCCTCAGGTGGAAGAGGAACAGAATGAAGAAGAAGCATTCATTTGTCCCTGTTTAGGCCTCCTCCTGTGTCCTGTGTCCAGTTCGGGACATCGGAGTGCAAGAAGGATAGCGGCAAACTAGAACACATTCAGAGGAGAACAAGGAGGAAGATTTGGGGACTGGAAACCAAGCCCCAGGAAAGAACTGGGCATGTTTAGTTTTGAGGAAAGAAGGCTGACAGGAGATTTGTTTGTTTATTTAAAAAGGAACTAAGGCGGCTTACATCATTGAAAGACAATATTTAAACCTGAAAATAATGAGTATACAAAGGTGTTTTACATCATTAGAATATTTTAAGATAGTATAAAGAGGAAGCTTACATCCTTAAAAGACAATAAAGCTAAAATCGAAAAAAATACAAGTATTAAAAAGGAAAAAAACAGATGCCACTCTGAAAAATAGAAAACACAAAACCCAGTCAAAGCAGTAATTCATAATGGCTGCTTGGGGAAAGAGAGCAATGATGGGCCAGCCTGGCCTCCAGTGGCAGGGAGTTCCAGAGTCTGGAGGTAGCTGCAGAGAAGGCCCTTTCCCGTATCCCTACACCAAATGTGTCTGTGAAGGTGTTGGGACAGAGATAAAGGCCTCTCCTGATGACCTTAACACTTGAACAGGTACATAAAGACATGGTATTTGATAGCGCTTGTCAAATACTTGAAAAGCTGTCATCCAGAGGAGGGGCAGGATCTGTTTTCAATCATCCCAGAGTGAAGGAGATGTAAGAATGCGCTCAAACTCTACAGGAAGCCAGATTTAGGCTAATATCACGAAAAACTTCTCAACCGTTAGAGCAGTACGACAAAGGAACCCATCATCTCAGGGGGAGGTGGTGAGTGCTCCAGCACTGGAGGCCTTCAAGAGAAAACTGGACAACCAGACCTGCCTTAAATTGGATTCCTTCGATGAGCCTTGATGGCCTTATTGGAGGTTGGACTTGATGGCCCCCCAATTCAATTATTCTGCGATTGTATAATTAAACTGTTAACCTACCATCTTTCTCATCACTGTGTAAAATGTACCCGTTACAGTTGCTGCTATATTTTAGCTTTATATATGTTGTATGTTGAGCAGTTCTGCAAATTAAAAAAATGATAATAAATTATTGTGACAAATAATAATGTTCTCCTGCTGCTTTTATTCAGACCTTGTTTTTCTGTAATATGGTGACTGAAGGACTAGTGGGTGTCCATGTGAGGTGTTGCCTTAGGCCCTTGACACGCAGAAAAGCACGCAACATGAACTAGTAATAAAAGAGCAGAATCCTGCTCAGTGTATGTGTTAATTTGCTGTGTGTGATTTTCTGGCTGCCTTGTTTTTCTTGCAGGCAATGGAGCGACTACAGGTCCTCTGACCTACGTTCCCCAGGAAGATACACTTCTCAAGGAGAGGGTGAGCTGCCTTCGTGCACTATCTCTGATGTTGGTTGGTTTCAAGTACCCAGAACTCCCTTTTCCATTTAATAAAAAAGGTCCAGGCAGGTTGTGGCTCAGAAAGTAGAGGGACTAGAGTATTGATTGAGGGCTTGGGAGACCTGGTTTCACATCCGTGCTTGGCCACAAAGTTCACCGGGAGGTCCCGGGCCAGGCACCGTCTTCCATGCCGATTCCCCTTGCTGTAGTGGGGTGTGATGAAGACGAAGCGGAGGGAAGGTGAGCTGCGGGCAGTGCTTCAAGCGCATGGTAGGAAAGGGTTGCTGTATCACCAACAACGTGGGCAGAAGAAGGCCCACAGGCTGTGGGATGCCTGGATGAAAAGTGGCAGCGCCACTGATCTCCCAGACCAAGGCTGCCTGCCCGGGCATTCCTATTGGTTGCCGCCAGTGTAGAGTGTGCAGGCCTAGCCATGAACCCAGGAGGGCTGCCGCCTTTCCCAAGGCACTTGTCTATAATTCAGAATGAAAGGGAGATCGCGGAAGGGAAAAGCAGGTGTTTTTTTAAAAAATCACAAACTTCTTCACCCTTGGTAATTAAAGTTGCGTTATTGCCTGGTTTGTTTGTTTGTTTGTTTGTTTGTTTGTTGGTTTGATTTATACCCCGCCCATCTGGTCTAAAAGACCACTCTAGGCGGCTTCCAATATAGTAAAAACAGTGAAATAATATAAAAAACACACACAATTACATAAATCATATTGTAATAAACAGAATACAACAATAGAATAGAAAATACATAAGGAGAAAATAAAGAAAAGTCAGATATTAACTGGAGGGAAGGCCTGAATGTATAGCCATGTTTTTAATTGACTTTTAAAAGTGTCCAAAGTGGGGGCTGCGTGGCTCTCAGGAGGGAGATTGTTCCAGAGGCGAGGAGCCACCGCCGAGAAGGCCCGGTTTCGTGTCCTTTCCTTCCGGGCCTCCCTCGTCGTTAGGCTCCTCAGCCTCACCTCCTGGCTCGTGCGGGTGATCCGAGTAGATCTACCCTGTTTCGTCAAGTTGCCTCCGACCCATGGAGCCACCTCCAACATGTCCTGCCCTCTAATAGCCCTGCTCAGCTCTTGCACACACTCAAGCCTGTGGCTTCCTTCAGGGAGTCTGTCCATCTCGTATTGGGTCTTCCTCTTTTCCTGTTGCCTTCCACCTTTCCTGGCAGAATCTCCATTGGCTGGTTTAGGGCGTGTAAAGACAAACCAACCCATGCAAATATGTCATTTGGTCACATATACGTATTAATAATAATTGGAAAAAGACATTTGCAGGGTTTTAAAAAAAAAGTAATTCACAGTTTGTTTTCTTGAGGAAACAGGAAAAAGGGGACTGTTTTCATGCTAGGTCACAAGCAGCTGCTTATTTCTGCACAGGATGAAATGATTTTGAAAATGGGGAATGAAATCAGTCGCCTCTCCGGCTTGGAGAGTGAGTGCAATCGCAAAGATGCAGTGATTGCCGATCTTCAGAAGGAGGTTGCATCGCTGACGGAGAAGCTGGCAGCCACCTTTTCCCCCACAGAGTCAGAGTTTCGTCAGAGGTTGGTGGGTCTCGACCAGGACGTTGCTGCCAAGACAGAAGAGGTTAAAGCCTTGAAAGAGGAGGTAGGGACCGCTAGAGGGCATGGGGAGCCTTGAGGCTCAGAAACGCACAATGCCCATCCCATGAGGAACCATCGAGGTTTCAAATGAGCCCTCCCTGGCCGTCCCAGAGCTTGAACTTAAAATCTTTTTGTGTCAAAGCATATGAATTCCTGCTGAGCTTGCCACGTTGGATGATCAAAGTCAAACGATGGTTGGCTGTCCGGTCCATAAGACCATTCTTCGGTCTGTGCCATGGAGTCGATTCAGACTGACAGAAACCCTTCTCAGGGTTTTGTTGTTATAAAGTACTCAAAATGGCTTGCCAGTCCTTCCTTCTGAGAATGCTCTGGGGCCATGTTGGCTGCTCCAGGCGACCGGAGCTGTCTCTTTCCCTACTAGGCACGCGGGATATCCAACTCCCAAAACTCTTGACTCCATAAACTATCCTGCTAGTCAAATAACAACCTAGCAAGCTTCATTTACGTGGTGGTCTAGCTTGCTGGAGATGTAGACCCTTTATAAGCAAAGGAGGAAATGGAACAGCGAGCCGCAGCCCTGCTTGGGATGTCTCTCTCCTCTGTCCCTTCTCCTTTGGAGTTACTGGTTTGTTTCATAGTTTTCCCAGTTTGGATTTAACACTGAGTAGTCTTTCATGTTTCAGGAAGTCAAGGAAAGACCTAATACATGTGAGTTCAGGAGGACCGTTTGCATATGGCTGTTGCGTCTGAATAATTGGTTTTGGGTGGTGGTGGTCTTTTCACATGCAAGACTTCAAACTATTCTTGTTTCAGTCTGTCTGATGGGGAGGTGAAAAAGTCCAGCATTTTCTGTGCAGGCAACAGAAAAGCATTGCTTAATCCAAGTCAGTATCAATCAGCTGCTTTTCTCTTTTGCTTCTGTGTTTGTGAATCAGATCAGCAACTTGCAGAAAAATACGAGTGAAGTGTTATACCATTCCCTTTCTGAACGAGATTTACAAATTGCACACTGGAAACAAGAAACTAAGACTCTGAAGAAGAATTATTCTCTTACGATAGGTAATTTCTCTCTC